AGGAGCCGCAGCGCCCGAGCCCGCAGGGGCTGCGCTGCGGGGAATTGGTCTTAAAAACAAAATCTTCCTGCGGGCTTTAGCTTGATTTTAGCAGGCGGCGGGGTGTTTACCAGTCTTTGCTTTTTCGTTTCAACTGCGTGTGGTTCGTGGGAAACGGATCAGCCCCTCCATCCGAGCACCGTCGGGGCTTGGAACCGTTGTTCCGCTGATCGCAGCGCCGGCACCCGCTGCGCTGGCGCGCAAGGGAGCGCGGCTGGAGCGCATGTAAAACCCCCGTGCGCGGGAAGGGGCAGGGGACAGCTCTTCCCGCTACCGTGTCTCAAGCCCAGACCTCTGGGCTGGAGTCACTGCCACAGTAAGGGAGAATCAGATAGTTTCAAGCCTTCGATTTTCGCCTTCGAGTTGTCCCTGCCTCAGAGAGCTCTGTGGGCAGCAGGGAAAGAAACACGGGGAAAGTGGGGCTGGGACGCGCGGGCGGGCCGGCAGGACAGGGCTGTTTCTGCAAAGCACCTCTTCAGTGTCGCACCGTTACTTTTCAGTGCCTGCCCTGAAATACCTGCCAAAGAATCGCGGCAAGAATTTCAGCTGAAAAGGTCATTATCCTCTTTTTTAGTCATTACTCTTCTTGTCAGTGGCTGTATCTCAGTGAACTTTGTAAGTAATTCATGATAGTCCTTTTTTTTTTCTTTTTTTTTTTTTTTTCTTTTTCTCCCAGTGAGCTTTTGTGCCTCTAATCCTCCTACGTAGTAAGTAACGATTGTACCAAATCCATACAGACCTTTCACCATTTCTTCTTACTTCTAATAAGTTTCTCCTTTGTTTCATGTTTCACTCAAGGTTAGGCAGGCTCGATGCCGAAGATTCTGAGATGCTTAATCACATTTTCTAATTCAGTTACATAAAAATTAAGTGAATTAGATTAAAAATGCCTGGAAATTTGTTTCTCGGATGACAGCTGTGACTAAAACCAGAGTTCCTGCAGTAGACTAATTTCAGGAAATTTTCCCCTTGTTACTACATAACTAGAGGTCGAAGAAGCAATTCTGCTCTGGAATGGTGAGATGAGCATCAATAGCACCGCATTGCCCTCACCCCTCAGAAATATCCCAGCTAGGGCGGATGGGCGTTGTGCTGCCTGCACGACCTGGGAAAGTTCAATGGACTTCACCCCAGCGCTTGAAAGAAAAGAGAGGAGGAGAAACCCATCTCCCGGCTGGCGTTAAGACGCGTCGCTGGGGCGCTGCGAAGGCTGCGGATGCTCAGCCCTCTGGCCTGGCGGGGCGAGGGGAGAGAGAGAAGGCGGCTCTCGGGCCGGGGGGTGCGGGCATCCCGCGGCCAGAACCCGGGCTCGGGCGGGGAGAAGGGGTCCGGAGCGCCGCGGTTACCCGCACTCCCGCACCTCGGTCACACTTCCGCTCCCGCCGAGGGCGCCGCTGCGGGAAAAGCCCAAACGCAGTCGGCAGCAGACACCGGAGAAGAAAGGAAAAGTTTCCTTTCAGCAGCCTGGAGAGGGGGGAGGTTCGCAGGAGTCCTGCGGGCTGCGGTCTCTGGGAGGGAGGAGGGGGGCCTCCGACCGAATACGGGGGA